TATAGTTTGGGTGGGAAATTATTATTACTTTTGTTTCTTGACCAATGATAGTAAACCTGCAAGGGATCATACCTTCACAGTGACTTCTGTTTAGGTAGGTGACATTTGTTGCACTGAGTACAAGGTTATGATAGGGAAGTGATAGCAAGTAGTTTCTGTAGAATAATTGCCTTTTCAGAGCTATTTTCACAATTACTGTTAGGCTCTTCAGAGTAACTAACCTGACTTGATGTTTTATAAGGACCTTGCTTTAAAAAGTGAGACCTCTAGTCATTCATAAGGCAGGTCCTTTTAAGAATAAAACTCATAATTTCTAAAAAGGCCACTGTCAAATGAAAGACCCAAGGGTGAAGTGGGGAAAGGGAGTGATTTTTACCAAACTGTACCAAGCTATTGAAACCCCGAATCTAGCTTACATAAACATCCTTTTGAGACAACATCCAGTTCATCACTGTAATGTTAAAACTGGTAGTAGGTGGAATAACTTCTGTAGGTAGGGATAAACTTTTATTGCCTCTTTAGTAATAAAAGCTAGGTCACACTTGTTGGTTTAATGGCATATTAGAACCTTCTGTTGTTTGCTCGCTCTCTCTGAGCAGATACTCACTGCCCCTTCTGCTTTCCTTTAAAATTCTCTGCTGGAAGTCCCATCTACCTTTTCCTTCAGAAGTGATCTTATAGTTAACTCTGAGCAGTTAGATGACTTGTCCAAAATGCAAGCAGCAGACTTCAAATACCAGAAGAAGGGCATGTGTGCCTGAAGCTTGTTGTCTTATTTCCCTGCTTCGCTCTTTTCCCCCTACACTGGACTAAATGATCTCATAGGGCTATCTACAAAACCGCCTTGTCTGGGTCCTTAGGTCATCACACTACTGCTAAAGAAAGTAATAGTAACTATTGCAAAAAGAAAAACACCCACACACCCACTCAAGAAACCCAAAAGTCAAAAGTTGAAAGTGATGGAAGAGTTCACTTCTTTTGCCACTTAAAAGATTTAAAATCTTGTAAATTCACATCAAACCCTAGTAAGTACCATTGGGAATTTGCCAACAAGATGGCTAGTTTTGTAAATAGTCTAGTCTAGCTAATTCTCTTCTTGATGGGGTGTCTGCATAGTAAAATAGCCACCTCAGTTTAGAGCTGAGATGGCAGGCAGTTGGGTCTGTTCCTTTGCCTATATAGCTACTCTGTGCAGCTCGAGTTAGACTCTACCCTTCCCATGTTTAATCTGTGAATCGCTAATGTTATTGGAAAATGCCATTTTATTTTTAATTTCCTCAGTATAGCATTGTGAAATGTTTACTCCTTTGTAAACATTTCTTGTAGTAGGTACAGCATTTACACAGCATGTTACAAACTGTGCTCAGCACATATTCTTGAGGGGTATGGTGCATGTATCTTCTGTAGATACTAACTTGTATTGTGCTCATGGCAAGGTAGGAAAAGCAATTTCTAACTCCAGATGTTTCCTCCTTAGTTTTTGGGATCTTTACTAGTTAACTGTATTTTGAAATATGGATGGAAAACTTGCCTCAGAAGAACTTGAAATAAATATAAATAACCTGCCTGACTAATCTGAATTGCAACAAGATGTTCCTAATACAACGCAAGTTCATTTTAAAAAGAAACATGTAAGTAAACCAAATGTTGCAGGAATGTGCTTGGGCAGGTGAATGAAACTTATGTATATCGTGTTCTGGGATCTTTTCCTTCCAATGTATATATGCACAGTCCCATTAAATTCAGCAGAGCTATTTGTGTGAAGCTAGCGTTTGGAATTTTTTTTTTCCTCCTCCATGATAAACAAGCAGGAAAAGTGCTGAAAGACAATGATCTTTCAGATTAGCGGGTAAGACTGTTTAACAGAGATTAAGTTGATAATAATCTTCTATATGCAGTCTCTGGACTCTCTCAAATTGTAGAGCTGGTGGGATCCACTGATGGCCCTGGGAAATGCAAGTTCACGTATTCTTTCAAGCAATTTGTGTGTTCCTGCAGCCTCGCATGTGAGCAGGGTTGCAGCAGCCGAGCAGGCTTTTTCCTGTAGTGGGAAAAACGCTGACCATTCCTGCAAGCCACTGCGGCATTGCAAGCGTTGTAAGGTTTGGAGCTGTGACGCTGTGCCAAAAACTTACAAAATAGTGAATTAGGATAGCTGGGTCCTGCTAATTACACAAGCAGGAGGAGTTTGGAGGGAAAGCTGTCTTGCACAGATGATTTTCCTATGCTTCCCATGGAGAGTAATGGTTTCCTGGCTGCTACTTGTTTTTTTTTGTTGAGAAGGGAGGTTTTGCTATTTTTTGGCTGTATCTGTGATACTCCGAGATTGAAAGAGGTGGAGGCAAACTCTCTTGTTCTGCAATTATGAGGGGAAAAAGGAAAGATACTTTTGGCCTTATCTTCAGATCAGGGTTCTATTAAAAAATAGGTATATTTTTAACATTTTACTGTGTTCAGTCATTTGTCAGCTGCCATTTCTTAGAGATGCAAGGTTCTCATGAACGTTAACTCAGCAACATTAAACTAGCTTTAGGTGCAACAAAAATGTACCGATACCTTCTGGCTATTGTGGAGGTTATAAAATCAAAGCACAGAGGTGTTGTCTTCTAATGGAAGTATGTAAGTGGATATTATGACCTTTAAGCACAGAGAGGATATAACAGGTTAAAGTATTGAATTACAATAGCAAAATCTGCACCTGTCATTCATAATGTTAATGGCATATTATTTAAATGGTTGATTTGTTGTCTTTTCCTCCCATCATCATTTGAACTGGAATTTGAAGGAATAAAGTATGAAGAGTCTGTAAGTAAGAATGTACTATTTTGTTTAGAAAAGAGAGCCTTCCAAACCAAGGTGCCTTTATGAACAAGAGAGGAGCAATTTTTAAGTTTTGAGCACAATTTCCTGTTAGTGCCAGCCAATTTGTGAGCATATATAAATACACAGATCTGAAAGAAAGGGTTTTGCTAGGCAGACAGAGTCTAGCTTTTTAGCTCCTCCTACTTGAAAATGTTGCCCGATTTCTTTTAGTTATGAGGGACTGAAATTGAATCTTCTGCTTAATCCTCTGTTCTGTGATGGAATGCAGCTGCTTTCCCATCACTGTTACATCCTGAGTTCTTTAGGTTTGTTGTCTGAAAAAAGTGAGCATTTAATATTAGAAACACTCTTTTCTTGTAAAACAGCATATTGGGAAAATATGAAGACTTCATTAAAAATGACAGTACCACAAGAGGGTGCCATTTCTTTAATTTTCATAGTGACTAAATATTTTTACAGCTCCAATCAGTCACTTGGTCTGAATAGCTGCAGTCTCTGAAGTTTGAGGGTGTTAAGAACTAGTCAGTCACTTCTCTCTTGTATTGAACTTTGCCTCAGTCTTCCACTTGCACCCTCGCTGTCCCTCAGAACAACCACGAGCATGCAGAAATCAACTCAGAATGAATTGAGAGGGTTTTCTCCTAGTGTTGCTGTAGTCCACAGCTGCGCACTGTAAAACTGCTAACTGCCTGGTATTTTCCCTCCAGGTCAAACAAACAGGAAAAGACCACTTCTGGGTGGGTGCGTTTACAATCCCAAATGTGTATCCAACATGTTTGGTTTCAGTCAGATTACGTTCATATATAATACTGGGCTAAGCACAGTGGTTGCTATCTAGTAAACCACAAAGCCCTTACTACTACTACAAAATGAGAAACAAGATGAGTATCTTTCAACTAGCTATTTAGATAAAAACTACTCCAAAGATGCTTCAGAACCCAAGTTTTGTTTGAAAAGGAATTAGCTAGTCCTCTTAAAAATAACAAATTTGCATGAGAACACTAAAAATAAAAATCCATGTGAAACTGCACATGGGGATGATTCTATTAAGTCCAACTTGTGGAATCTTTCCTACAGTAAATAAAGAGGCACTCTTGTGCAACAGAGAAAAAAACAACTTAAAAAAATTTAGCAATAAAAAAGAGGATTTAAACCTTAAATTCTTTGAGTTATGTAACTGACTATATTCAGAATTTCCTGATCAGAGAAAAAAGTGAAACAAGTATATCAGAAACAGTTTGATCTCAAGTTTTAAAGTAGCTGTATCAAAATGTATCCATAAGTATATAGACTGAGGTGGAAGAGTAAACTGTGCCAGAAGAGGGAAGTGAAAGAGAAGGTCCAACTCTGAAAGAGTGAAAGTTAGTTTTTTTTAAAAAAGGAAATATCCATCAATCCTTTGCTCAGTATCTTACCTCACTGGCTGACTCATTTCTGCTGGCTTTCATCAATGGGTACACTTTGCACATGAGAAATGCTAATTCAAAGCCAATACGATGCCCCTTTCATTTTATTTCCAAAGCTTTCCATAGACTTGTATTTTGTATATCACCTCACCTCACCACCACCACCACCTTTCCCCCCCACACACACTTTTTCTGGCTGCTGTTCATATAACACAAGCTCATGAAGTCTCAACACCCAGGTGAGGTTGCCAAGGACACAAACATGGAAGCTACAACTTGTTCACGATCTGACAGAACTTCATAATTCAAGTTCCTGCCTTTTATACTTGTAGAAAAATAAATATACAGCTTTTTACAAAGCTGTTAATTATTTCATCACTCAATGGCAGATGTGCCTTCCCCCTCCATGTTTGACAAAGTAAGAATTAAAAATGAGAATTTCAATTACTGTGTGACTCTTGATGGGATTTTCAAAAGCAGGCTATGCTTAGATAGTTCCACTTTCACCCATACTAATGGGATTTTTAACTTCATCTAGAGAAGGTCTTAAACAACATTGATGGATTTTGAAAGTTCCATGTTATACACCCTTTACAGAACCATGATAAAAATGTTGACAGTAATAAACCAGCTTGTCATACTGCAATCCATTTAAGTATTGGGAAAAGTAACTTGTTCTGGTTAACTTAAGAAAATAATTAAAATGTTGTTTCACAACTCTAACATGCTTGAGAGAGTCTGTATATATAATTTAGAAACAACTCTGAAAAAGCCTCACCCTGAAAAAATTGCTTTCTCAATTTCCAGCACTATTTTGGGAAGAGATTTTTCTACACTGACAGTAATAAAGTTTTCTGGTGCTCTAGGAGGCTCCAGAGTATCAAATTGAGACTTGAATAATTCAGGTGGCATAAAATGTCCTCTCTTCTTCTCCAGGCGACAAGCAATGAGGTCTATAGGCCCATCCAAATGAACAAAGAGGATCTTCAGTGCTGTATTTTCTCCTGGTTTCTCTGGCTGGTTGCTTTCAAGTGCAGATGCTCCACAAATATACATCTATACATTTTCTTCAGTGCAGAACAGGCCAGAACCACATCTTGTCTAGATGATTCTTCTCTATCAAGAAGAAAAAAATGCATCCACACGTCGTATATTAAAACAGCAGCTATTCCGCACTGTCTCCATAGCAGATAACCCCTGGTTCCTTGCAGAGAACAGCATTGGATGTACTGGCATTTTTTGTTATTTTGACAGGATTTTGAAATCAATTTGATAATGTGGGTAAGGATGTGGTTTGAAAGTGAGATCAAGCTAGCCAGTCTCCTGCTAAAATCTCTATCTTAGGGCATTTCTATATTAGCCACCATTCTTTCACTTTAATTAGATTCTAATATAGTATAAGGAAGTGTCATGAGCACTTCCTTAATTGCTGAGAACAGCAGCTACTGAATATCCTTAGAAACTCCCATCCATCATCTAAAAAAATGATGATACACATCTGTCTAGAGAGTAAGTGGCTGCTGAACAATACAGAGCTCTGTTCTTGAATATATATTCAGGTATATTTTCAACATGTTTTCATTGTTTCAGTTTTAATTGTTTGCTGTAACCATAATTACTGGGAGCACTGCAGATATGCTCACTTCAAGTTATACAAGGGAATGGATAAAGTTTAATTAATACCCTGTGCGTATATTTTTTTTACTGACAAGATTTCTTAAAATAAAGACATAAAAGCATTAAGTTGTGGGGGTGTCTGTTGCACCAAAAAAGCAAATCTAGAATTAGTTTTGTCTTTACAAATCAGAGTGACTGAAATGTCTGCATAAGCAAATACATTCTGTAATCAACTTAAAATTATGTATAAAAATATTTAACAATCATGCCACATATTGCGCAAAGAAATAAATGAGAACTTGTAATACCTAGTGTTATCATCTAGGTGAGCCCACGCCAGCCTCAGCTACTTACAAGTACAAGTAATTATACCTTGGCATTAGGCCCTGTTAAAGTATACTTGATATTGCAAAAAGTTTCTGGAGCTGCCTTGGGCAGGCATGTCACAGAAAGCAATGGATCATGTTCCAACATAACAATCCAGATAAATTTCTCAGTAAATTAACCCACACTCCAACAAGGTACAATCACCTGATGCGCATGTGCAAGTAACAGTCTGTGTGAAGCCAGACAAGGAGAACTTTGAGGAACAGGAGATACAGGGGAAGCTGGGCTAGATAAGAGGTTTTGGCAGAATAACCTTTGAGATTACTTTTGTAAGCAAGGCACTAGGCAAGTGGCTGACACTGTAGGATGGATGGGTTTCCTTCCCCTTCCATCTATCCCTAAATAGAGCCCAGGATCCAAGAAGTGACACAGTGTACCTGGAACAGGCTAAAAGGAAAGGGCAGTTGTTGGCTGTGACCCTCCTCCTCTTTCTGTTTGCAATAAAGGTACAAACAGGTGAAATGAAGCATCACAGAAATGCAGTTGTGACTAGAGAGCAATAATGGGATGAGTCATAGCTCTAACTAGTTGTGTCAGGTGTCCAGTTCCATGGCATTTGGTAGGTATTTTGCCAGTCTGAACCTTCCCCCTTCTCTATCTGAGTTTCAGATCCTAGATGCTTCTGAATAGGAATCAAATTCCCCCAAGGGTTGAGGCCCACCAGTTCAGCAGCCTCCTGCCATTTTTTGAAGGCACACATGAAATTCGCAAAATCTGTTCTTCTGTCTCCTACCCACTTGAAACATCAAGAGGAGACCTGATATTGTATATAACAGAAAAAGATGTGGCAAAGGATGCAGAACACAAATTCAGTATTTTGAGCATGCTCGAACTCTTTGGAACTTGCTTCTTATTCCTCTTAACAAAGGAGGCTTGTTAGGTGTTAAGTATAATATACCAAATTAAAGCAGGATGAAAAATAAAGAATCTGAGCCTAAAGCTACGTTTTACTCTTCTCACTTTCAAGTTTCATAAAACTTCCTTTGAATTATCTTTGCTTGTTTCTGAACACTTGATGTAGGACTATTTAGGAAGTACATATTAATTAATAAATTTCAAGGTTGAATGATGAGTTGGTCAGCTAGCTATAAATAAACATTTCTAAAGGGAGATTCAATTTTATGCTTCCCAAATGCCTAATCATTTTGGATTGTATTTTACTGAAACTAGTAAGATTTTAGAAATATGTTATACTAAATTCATTACCAGTGTATTCTGTGGTTCTGCCCTCTGGAAGTAGCTAATATCATATTTATTATTGAACTGGATCTTTGAAATATTAAGTTCCTAATACAGACAGTAGAACAAAACTATCATTGCCAACAGCTTTCCCAACATTATTATTCAGGGGTTAGCTCACCCTTGGCAATTATGATGATACCTCAGATTAGTGAAAACAGAATGGCTTTACTAGCTGCAGAATATTTTTATACTACTACATACATTTCTGCTTTGGAATGCAATGGGGAAAATACTTGGTTTTGTCTTTAGCTAGAACTCATTAAAGATAGAGGTTCTCTTACCTCCTTAATATATCATGCAGTGCACAAAACCATGGAATCCTGTCCTAAAAACAAAACAAGTTAGCTCAAAATTGTTTATGAAATTGATTTAAAACAATCACTTCTAACATTAAGAGCATCTGACTAGAGATGAAGAGTAGCATTATAATGCAGAGAAAGTTCAGTTTTGTATCTCTGCTGCCACTGCATTAAGGCTAAAAAGATGTGCTAGGCTTTTTATCAATAAGAGGTTTTTAATGGAATAGAAGAAGCCCCTCTTGTTGTCCTTGACATCCCTTGCCAGATTTAATTCCAACTGGGCCTTAGCCTTCCTTGTCGCATCCCTGCAGACTCTGACAACGTCCCTGTATTCCTCCCAAGGGGCCTGTCCCCTTTTCCACATTCTGTAGACTTCCTTCTTCTGTTGGAGTTTTGCCAGGAGTTCCTTGCTCATCCATGCAGGTCTCCTGCCCACTTTGCTGGACTTCTTACTCAGAGGGATGCACTGCTCTTGAGCCTGGAGGAAGTGATGCTTGAATATTAACCAGCTCTCCTGGACCCCTCTTCCTTCTAGGGCCCTACCCCATGAGATTCCTCCAAGTAGGTCCCTGAAGAGGCCAAAGTCTGCTCTCCTGAAGTCCAGGGTTGCGATCCTACTTATTGCCCTGCTGCCTCCTCCCAGGATCCTGAACTCTACAATCTCATGGTCACTGCAGCCAAGGCTGCCCCCAACCTTCACATCTCCAACTAGACCTT